GTGTGACGTTAACAGTAGGCATGCTCTGTCTGAGGCTTTGTTAAACTTTAATTTCAATTTTATTTTAACACTTAATTTTAATCTAACCATAAAGAACTGATTTAATTGGAACTACAACAGATGAGCTGATATGTGCTGTTCAAGTTCTTCTTTTTTACTGAAACTCAAACACCTAAACAGTATCATGAATGCTCATATTGATCACAGGCTGGTGAAAATATGTTGTTTAAATTAATTTTGTATTTTTTTCTTGAGTTTCTTAAAATATATTTGGCAGTGTTTGCTAATGTGTGCATTATGCCACCATGGTAATAGCTGAAGATGCCACCATACACATACAGTGTGATGTCACTGCAAAGTATCAGTACACTGAACTACACAAACTATTGATCTCAGAATGGTAATATTTTAGGTTAAGCAAAAATAGTTTAAATCACTATATTAGCAAAATAAATAAGTTTACACTGGAACTGAAAACTTATAAAAACTGTCTCTCAAAATGGCTTTAAATTAGATAAAATTACAGAATTATTTATTATTTTAGTCTCTTACTGCTGCTAATTAATATGTAAATATTATTGTGCTCGACAAAGTATCACGTTTCATCCTTTAGCCCATAGCACTTAAGACAGCATTTTGAATATATATTTGTAACCATATGGAATGTATAACAATGATAAAACAGTGATAGTTCAAATAGCGCTGACGTTAAGAGTTCCGTTTGCCAGGTTCAGTGCGAGACGTGTTGGTTCTGACTCCACTCATGAAAATAAGTGGCATTTCATTGAAGATAATAATGAGTTGCAAAGCGCTGGGAGTCTCTGCCAGGCCTCTTGATAGACGCTATAAAAGTGATGCAGAACAGAACTTACAGCTTTATGACAACACGCCTATAATGTAATAAGATTTATCTGCCCCAGTCACACAAGTCTGAGCACTTCGGAAAGACTCTTTGTAAATCTCCGCTTTTCTCGACTGCGGGGAGCCAAATTTATAACATCTATTTAGCAGTGAATAATAATGGATTCAGATTACAATAAAAGTGCATCTGACAAATATGACGTTTATGTTTTTTCATTTGTATGACCTCAGCTGTGAAACAATGTTTGACTGTTTTCTCAAGGTCCATCATGGAAATGGATCACGCTATGGGAATTTTTATCCAATAGGGATCAAATTTTGGCAAAGACATTGGTGCAAGTCGCGTGTCCTGACCGAACTAACTGAGGGGGCATATGAGCTTCTAAGAGGTCCAAGTGTAGATGTGTAAGTATTTAACCTTTGCAAACCAGGCCTGGTGCTATCTTGCAATGACAAATAACATAGCTGCAGATTTTTGTTTAAGAGGAAAGGGAATTTTGCTCATAATTTGAGCAGATATAAGCGTAAGCAGAATTTGAGAGGCACAGTCAATTAAGGCATTAACTCTATCTTGCAATGATAAAGGTGGTTTATTAATGAGTATTAAATATTATAAGAGAATATAATGATCTTTCGGTAAATTCCCGGTGATGTCATATGTTTTTCATTGTCTCCATGGATGCTATTCTGTAAAACATTCCAATAACATCGAGAATTTGACCTTACAACCCAATATGGACCCTTTACAAAATTTTTTTTAGACGAGCTGTCCCAAAATGGAACCAATTACCAAACGAAATTGTTTTAAGACAGGCCTTGGCAACCTTAAAGTTGGTTGACAAAATCTTCACACCATGCATTCTGTCTCTTTTTATCAGTGTAATATCCGTTTGGAGTTTGACAATTAATCAACCAGAACCAGAAAACCACAAAAGTTACAAAGTGCAAATTTAACTATCAAAAAAAACACAAACAAACCCACAAACAAACCAATGGAAGGCATAACATAAATAATTCCTGACCACATATTAAAACTTAATGTACAACAAATAGACTGAGTAAAGAAGTGGTCTAAAGTTCACCAAGGCTAGCAGTTATGGGAGGATTTTGGAGAAAAGTTCCATATTAGGAATAGGAATGGATTTACGGACAAAATGGTGAAAGAGGGACAAAGCTTTTTCAATGCAAAGTGAATTGGAGCTGGAGTCGACGGCGCCAGAAGTTAGCCCATGGTCACTTCTTATTTGGAACGCAGTGGCTAGTGGATTAGCTATGTCCATTTACAGTCTATGGTACAACTGCAATGCATAGTTGGGGGATTTTTCTATGACCTCACCCATGACCAAATGTTCCTTTAATGTTCTCAGTGACAGGAACCTTGGTCTGTCTTCAACCACATTTTGTAAATATAAGACATTTCTATGAAGGATGTCTAGACGTTTTATAGATTATCCAGTAACAGACAGCATCTTTCAACTTGTGCTTGAGAGGAGTCAGTGAGGGCCAGATGGTGGACTGGTTAAGACAGACATGATGTTGCTAGGAGGCTGTGTGGAGGTGCACCCCCTTTTGTTTGCATGGGGCGACCGCAAACACATGCTACAATTTAGGCCCAGTTATTTGACACAGGGGAAGTGCGCTTGATCAATTGTCAAAACGGACACAAACAAGGTTTAAGTTCATCATGTTTCTTTGTATATGTAAGCTTAATGTAAAATAAGACTTTTCATCTTTGGCCATACCGTATGCAGAGGATTAAGTATGAGCACACAGTAGTGATTAGTACTACAACAGGGGGGCTACTAAGTAAGTCAAAACATCTGGTGAATGAGCAGAACCTTTTTGGGTTAAAAAAAACTCTATGTCATTTTTCAAGTAAAGTGTTTGCTTGTCTCCATGGAAATGTTGTGGCAGTTTTGTGTAGAATGTTCCACAATACGGTATTAAACTTAATTTTTTTCATGGTTAAGTTACAGGTGAGAACTGTGGGAAGGCGACCCCATTCACAGTGAGAATGCCTGTTATTCAAGATATTTTTTACCTTCTAACATTCCAAACAAACACTCAGCAGGTGGCAGGCCTAAAAAGTTACACCGCAGACCTTTATTTGTGAAGATAAAATATACAATATGCATATTCGGGAAGTAAGTAGGCCATATTATCAGCCTTGGTGGATAGAATATACAGTGCATAACTATGTAGCAAGTCTTCAAAACTTTCATCGAATTATCATCTACTTTCTATAATGGTACACAAATAAAAAACGGAAATTCTTATTACTACATTACTTGCTGTTTTTCTGTCTTGTCCCCAGGCTTCTCTTGCTAATAGCAGTCCAGCTGGGATAATTGACTGCCTCTCCACCTCTCTCTCCTCTCAGCCTCAATGCTCGTTCACCCATACACGCTACATGACAGCTCCAAGTGCCCTGCCATCTTTGGGCTCTCATACATAAACATGCACAGAGCCTATATCTGTCACTATAGTGCTGCATGGAGTTGATTTTTGGTGACAAAATGTAAATAGGCGAATGTTTCTTCTCAGAGTATCACAGAAAATAATCCCCCATGACTTTTACTGACTCTTTCCAACATGAATGTAGACTATAAAAAGTAATTGTGTGCTTTTCATTTATTCAGTCATGCATTTTTCCCTCTGGGTGACCAAAGACACAACGCTAATCCAGTGTGTATAAATCAATAATTTAAAACATGAATGAGATAATAAATCTATTTATATGCAAATGGCTCAGGTCCTACATCTGTCATACTTTGTTATTGTGACTGGTCCCACTGACCCACAGTGTGAAGGACAAAAAATAGAAACTGATCAAAGACTTCTGGCATTTGAAGATCTGATTCCACAGTGCATTTCCAAACAATCAACGAGAAATCCGGTCTGGTATAAATTGCGTCCATATGAATTGGTTAATCTAAATCAAAATACATAGTAACTTGCTGCTCCCTAGTGGAGATCAGACTTAAAGACAGGCTATGTACACTCAACACTTATTACTGTCTGACTTTAAACAGTGTCTAACTGGCTTTTTAAAGACATCAAAAATCTGATCACTATGCTGTACTGTGGTAGTGGTTTTCTTTTCCTCTGTTCTGTTGATTTGGTGACTGTTTATGCATTAAAAACTGGACATATTTACCCTAAACTCTCCCTTCCCCTTGCTGTATAAAAGACAACATCATCTCTAGATTCCCTTTTTTTTTTTTTTTTTTTTTTTTTTACATACAAACAAGACAACTTATTTGATCAGTACCTGTTTTTTCTGGTTCTCCAGCACCTCCAGCTCCCTCTTCAAAGCGTTGATCTTGAGGTGGATCTCCATGTTTTGCTATTTTAAGAGTTCAATAATCATTAGAAACCACACTCTTTTAAATCAGTGGAAAAATAAAATGGCAGAAACTTACTTTGTGTAGGCCAGACAGCTGTTGGTGCAGTATGAGTGCACGAGTATTTCGTTGGGAACCTGCCTTGTACACAGTAAACAGGCCATCTTTTTCCAGTCCGTCAGACTATCCTCCTTCTTTGAGGGCTGTGCGTTTTGTGGTTTATCAGAGTATTGTTCACCTGTGCAGATGTTGACAATAAACAAACTTAAAAAATCTAATGTGGTAAGACAAAAATGAAAAAGAGAACATGTTAAGGATATTTAAAATTTCACTGTACTTTGTCTTCCAAATAGTTAATCTAAAATGATCTCAGATGTTATTGTGTTATCAGTAAATATGTATCTTATTTTTACTGTAAAAATGAATAGAGACTACAGTGAACCCACATAATCTAAAACAAGCTGACCAATAAAGTGACATTTAGAGAAGATAGTTTGTTGGTTGTACTATAAAGTGAAGTAACATTATTTAATCTTAAATCAGTCTTTTGATTAGAAGAGGCATTATTTGAATTCAATTTACCCATATTAGTTTACCTTCACCATTCATTGGTTTTCCTGGGTTTCAGCTTCGTGTTGTATGCAATATTGTTAAGATGGTTTCCCAATCAAGATGTATTTTGTTATTGACAGGTAATTACGAGTCTCAATTTTGCATCATTCTGAAACTCATGAATACAGAGCACTAGATCAATTTATATTTTAGTATACAATGAAACACAATTACAACAGAAAGTATAATAAGTTTTGTTTACTTAAAAAGTGTTTTTTTTTTTCAGAGCCCTGAAATGAAAGACACAATAAAAAAAACATTCAAGTCTAAAATAAAAATACAATATAATAACAATAACCAGACTACAGATACAGGACCATATGAAAAACACTGGACACAATTCCATGAGGATTGCAAAATAAAGACATTTTATGTCATTGACACTTTCTGTACAGAATTTCTAACAAAATTTAAAACACTATTTCAGTCCATGCAGCACTTATTGGCTACACATCAATTTAATTTGATGCAATTCCATTCTGAATTGGTGGAGAAGTCAGTTTTGCTCATCTAGGTGCAATGGCAGTTCATAGTATGCATTGTAAATGTACTGTGGTAGAGTCACTTTGGCAATGCGAGCTGGTGCATCAGTCCAGTTCCTTATACCGGGCAAACATGGCGTTGCGTACAGCTTGTTTATATTCGGCATGGGTGAACACACGTTGCTTTTTCTTCTTTTTCTGAACCACAAAGAAACAAACATCAACAAAATGGCAGCAACAAAAAAATCAATCAATCAAAAACAAATAAATAACAATGTGTAAGAGCATAACCAGATTGATTATGTTATAAAATATCCAAGACTATCAAACCACAATTTTCCCAATTTCTGCTAAAGTTAAGCTGCATTATGTAACTTTTACAGAGGACAGAGAGGAGTTGCTGCTTTCCTGAAATGTTCCACGGTATGACATTAAACTTCAGTGAGAGCAGCTAATGCAGCAGGCGAAGTTATCTGTCAGATCTGTGAAGGCAACATTGATATTGAACTACATCTGGAGATCTATGCAAATAAAAAAGTAAATGCAAGATAGACAAGTTTAATGTCATATTGTGTGCCCTCCACAAGACAAGCTGCTTTATGTATAAGTAAATATTATATGGTGGCATTAAAAATCCAATTGAAGACTTACTTGTGTGGGGGCAGGCTCAGCTCCTAATCCAGGTCTCTCACTCAGCTGACTCTTTGCTTCCCTAAACATAATAATATCAGCTTTGCTCACTCTATAGAACTGCCATGTTCACGTCACATTAACAATGATGGATCCCCTCACCTGGAGCTGCTGGCCCAGTCATCCTGATGCTGTGGTGGTGGTTTCCTTTTCCTCTGTTCAGGTGATTTGGTGGCTGCTTGTGCATTTAACTGTGGAGGCACATGTTCAATTATTATTTACCCTAAACTCTCCCCCTTGCTGTATAAAAGACAACGTCTCCCCATGAGTCATTTTTGCATTGTTTTCTTAGGCAAGGAAATAAGGAATTTTTTTGATACAATAGTTTGAGTAACACTTAAACAAGACAACTTATTTTATCCCTACCTGTTTTTCCTGGTTCTCCAGCGCCTCTAGCTCCCTCTTCGATCTTTTGATCTTGAGGTGGATCTCCATGTTTTGCTATTTTAAGAGTTCAATAATCATTAGAAACCACACTCTAAGTGTAAAAATAAAATGGCAAAAACATACTTTGTGTAGGTCAGACAGCTGCTGGTGCCGTACGAGTGCGTCTTTGTTGGGAAACTGCCTCCTACACAGTAAGCAGGCCATCTTTTTCCAGTCCGTCAGTCTGTCCTCCTTCTCTGAGGGCTGTGCGTTTTTAGAAGATTTGGGCTCATCTTTGTCGTCCTCCACCTCCTCATCACTTCCTGCTCCATAGTCTGACACGAGCGCCCCCAGCGACCCCATTGAACGCTGGACAGAAACAGGACAGGTTTAACTGTAAGCTTTACTAAAATCTTCTAGTGAAGTTTATAGTTTAATTAATTTGTATTATTTTTTACTCAACAGACGAATAAACAGTTCATCATACCTTTGACTTCTCATCTTTCTTAGCAGGAGCAAAGGGCATCTTGAACAGCTCCTCACTACCTCCCGTTATCTGCACATGTAAAAACAAATATGTCAATTGTTAAACCAAATTTACATATGAGGCAGCCAAGTTTTTTCACACACCTTTCTTTCAAATACTGCAAAACCAGCATCAGCAGATTTGGACTGCCTCCGGTCATCATCACCCCTCACATGAGGCGAGGGGGTTCGGACACTGTCCTTCTGACGATTCTGAATTTTTGCCCACCTCTCCATATCTTTCATGATCTGAAAATGTTGTCACGTGGTTAAAGTTGTATAGTAATGTAGGCCGCATGATTGACTGACTGGCCTAAACTCGCCATTGCCAATTTTAAATGATTAAATTTTGATTTGATTAAAGCTACATCTAATTATCCAATTAAAACATAACATAATACAATTTTCATGCTGACTGTTATTCAACAAGATGAAATAGTAGTGGATTACTTTATTAAAATCATGGTTTTACCTTGACTGCAGCACGACTTTTTGGCTTCTCCTCCTTGGTATCTTTTTTAGCCTCCTCGTCCTCCTTCGTGTCCACAGTTGGGGGTGCAGAAGCGGGGGGTGTAGGTGCTGGGGTGGGCTCCGGGGAGGCAGTGGGGGCTGGAGTGGGTCCTACGGGGGCAGACACTGGCACATGTGGCACATTTGGGGTGTGTGTGGATTGTGTGGAGTAAGAAGTATGTGTAGCTTCCGTTGTGAATGAAGTGTGAGTAGTTTGTGCAGTTTGTGCAGTTTGTGCGGTTTGTGCGGTTTGTGCGGTTTGTGCGGTTTGTGCGGTTTGTGCGGTTTGTGCGGTTTGAGGTGCAACGGGGACATGTGGGACGTGAGTTATATGGGGGTTTGGAGGGGGCTTCTTCATCTCCAGGGGGGCGTCGGCTGCAGGGTTGGAGAGAATGGCCTGGTCTCCTACAGTCAGTCCCTCCGCAGACTGCCCCCCAGGAACCGGAATGTAGGCTTTCAGAGCAGGGTCCCAGTAAAGGTATTCCTGAGTTTCAGCATTGTAGAAATACTAGGCAAAAAAAATGAGTTAGTTATTAATTTGGAGATTCAAGATGAAAGATGAAAAGTGCCCTATGCAAATTTCATGCACTAAGTGTTTCTTCTTTTTTTTTTTTTTTTTTTTTAAATAAAAACATCTATAATTTAAGAAATGCAGAGTAGATACAAGTTTCATGCCATAAATTGGAGCAGTTATACATTGTACCTTTATGTAGTAAAATTGCACTTTGCACTTATAAATACTAATAACAGTATCCTGTAGATGGAAGGAATACAGAATTAATCTTACTCTAGAGTTGGGATCATAGTACAGAGTTGTCTCCGGATCATAGTAAAAACCAGAAGTGGCATCATACAGGTAGTTGGTCACATCTGGAGCCTCTGGAACTGAAAAAGATGTAAAAATCTAAATCCTATACTAATTTCAAAAAATATATATATAATAATTTTACCAAAGAAATGGGTCTGTGTTGGCTGTATAGCGACTGGTTCAATTGGCACCTGAACGGGAGTCTCAACATATCCAAGACCCTGTGAGTTGACAAAGACAATGTCTATTTTCTGAAGTCAAAATACAGTTATAAATAAAGCAGCACAATAAATTCCAAAATAAGAACCACTATGAAGGTCACCATTAGGATTTTTCTGATTATTTCTGAGACAATAGTAGCACCCTCCAATCAAAAAGGCTGCATTTATTTAGGTAAAAATATCTTTTGCAAACAACAAAATATCCTGTCTTTTTGGTTTACACCAGCCAACAAGTATAAACTTTACAAGCACAGTGTTTTGAATTCTATTCGTTTAACAGTTCATACTTCAATCTTTTCTCATATTTTGTTGTGAGCTCTGAATGTGAAATGAACCTAAATAAAATTAAAAAGAATTCTTATCACAAAACACCAAAAGCATGTAGCCCTAGCTTCAGGCCCTTTCAGATTAATATCTCACCTGGTTAATGCTGGGGTTTATGGGCAGGGACAGATTTGGGGCGACAGGCATCATTCCACCTGAAGACAGAACATCTAAATAAGAAACCATAAATAAACACAAAAATAGCCTGCTGAGTGTCAGGGGTGCCTTGCCTTGCATATCTGTGGGTGCAGTGACAGGTGGAGGCATGGGCGGCATGTACTGTGGAGGAGGCATGAATGGCGGCTGCTGCTGGGGCTGTTGAGCTGGTGGTGGCTGCAAGGGAGAGTTAATACTATAATGTTAAATATGACAAAGCTAGATAAACCCAGGGCCAAACATCGACAGTCATACATGTTCAAATGATAATAGATTGGACATGGATTCAAAATATAACTTTCTATGAGATTGGACAGAATTTGTAAGCCACTGTCATAAGTAATGGGTAAAATAGACTTACCCATGTTGTGCTAGGCTGAGAAGGATTTTTCAAAGGTTTAGCAATTTCAACATAAACCCTGAAACCATCGATATACACCGGCCTGAGTTTAGACAGAAGCTCAACAAGACGTTTCACTTGCTGCAAAAAGGGACACAAAATGAAGAATCAATAAGTAAAAAGTAAATATGGAAGTTAAAATACAGAGTAAACAGTTTTCAAACTGTTTTTATAATGATCTAGATAAAAGTTACATTACAAAATACCTCATTACATGATTGTGTAGTTTTACCTCATGTGATTCCATGTCAACAAAGCAGAAGCACTTGTTTCCAGTCTTAGCCTTAACAATGCGCACATTCCTTTCATCTAGATAGGCATAAGGATCCAAGGCTTTCAGAATAGTCTCTACTGTTGTGGTGGGCTTCACATACTTTATTATCAGGGCTGTCAAAGACAAAAACAAAATTCAGGAAAAAAGCAGAAGTAAAGACATTACACTCTTTAGCATCATGTTGCTTTAAATACCTATTTTATGTCACTACTGCAATGTACTGAATTGCAACTTACTTTGAAAGTTTTTCCCGCATATTATTGTGCATAGAAATGCTGATGTCATGTTTATGTACATTGCAAAAAGTGGGGAATAAGTGGAATAATAAACATACTTTTGCTCTCTCCATAGTCTGGTTGAGGTGGATGTTGTGGTGGAGGTTGCTGACTGGACCATGGCTCTCGGGGGGGCTCTTCCTGCTGCTGGAGCTGTTGGTCCACCTGCCGCTGCCAGGCCTCTGGAGTCAGGTCTGAGCTGCGCTGCCACTGCTCTGAGCTGCTCCTGTCTGGGGCCAGTCCTGGAGCAGAGCCGTTCAGAGCTCTCTTCAGCTCCTCTGGGGGGGCAACGGGTCTGGGCAAGTGTGATTTGGATTCATGGGGAAAGCCATGGTCGGATTCCTTTGAAGCACACAAAAACTGAAGTTAGTCATCACTCAAGCAGGTATCGATTGGTAATTAATTACTTACTTATGATAGTACTCACCTGAGCCCCTCTACCACAGTCCTCTGGCTGAACAAACTTCAAAGTCGCTGAACTGGAGCCAATCTTTAGGGACCCCTGAAACAAAACAAAATGAGTCACTATGGGGTTAAAAGCCAACTCTCTCAAACAGTCCTACCTAATCCAGACATGCATCACACCCATAATCTATGAACATACCAGGCTGAACCTGTTTTCAAGGATGAGAAACAAATCCTATGTGATTAAACCACTACTTTCCATAAGACATTTATTATCACTTTAGACTAGAATATCTACTCAACTATAGGTTAACATGCAGCTACAACTGCAAATAAATATCAGTTTATGCAAAAAGTAAAAGCTCCCCAAGTGTTAAAAGTGTTAACTTTCTTCAGTATGGCATCATCAAATTTGTTCATCTTACGGTTATCAGTGTTTAATCTAAAATATATCTCAAATACTTAGACAGTTATTGGTAATTTACTTTTAGTACGAAATCTAATAATTAAAAAAAAAAGAGTCATAAACAGCTAAAACCATAAATGAAATTACTAATGTGTTTGTCAACTGAATAAAAGTAACAAGTAGAGACAAGAACCTAGCTCCTTTTTAATCGCGGAGCCCCAAAGCCTCATATTTTAGCCCCTCTGCGCAATAATGTGTCTGAGGAAACCTCTAGAAAATTTGTCATTGATCAACAGTACTCAAACATATTAATTAACCCTCAGAGACTGAAGAATAGACACCACAGTACCAGAACTATGACCTTCATGAAAATGTCCCATCAAGTGTCATATTTTTCTGACAAAACATTCAAACTTTAATGCAGAAGTTCTTGTGGAACTGGACAATAAGATATAATTTTTCAAGTGAAAATGATTTCCAGGTGGGAGCCAAAACGTCTATTTAAATTTGTTCCGATAACTATATCAGGAATCTTTTCTACAGTGGATCACTCCTGAATGAATAAAGGATTACAGCAACAATGAGCACAGTTCTTCAGCCATTACTGTGCTGACCAAAAATGGCACAAACCAAACAATTGCATTAACTAATATGGATTCAGACAAAGTAACAAAACAATTCCCCAAAACAAGACCTTGTAGAGCGTGTGACATATACAGGGCCAGGTTTATTTGTTTCATGTTCAGCAGTAGGACCATATACAAGAGAAACCTATTCAGCTTTTTTGTTTTTGTGCACCCTTCTCTCACCCCCTTATTCTTTCTTCTGTCTTTAAGCTATGAGGGGGATAGAATGTCCCAAGATCTCCTCCTCAGAACCCGCCACCATCAACTTGTTTTCAAACCATCATTACCTCTTAATAACTTAATAAATATTTTCAACAAACGTTCTTGCTGGAAAGGTTTACAGCCTGGTTGAGTACAAAAGGTTGACAGATACACAACCTGGTCATTAAAAACACACAATCTCAGAGTGACCCTCTGATGTCACATGCCAATAATCAACAACAATGAACTAACAAATCAGATGCATTTTTCCTTATGCCAAAACCGTGTCTAGGCTTCATAAGACCTTTAATTACCTTTGGCCCACAAACCAAAAATTCTGAACTGAAAACATCTAGGAATAGGCACCGATAGGCCTTCATCATACAGCCACAAAATGTTTGGTAAACAAAAAAATAACTCTAAATGCCCTTTCTGATTATAAACTAACGTGTCACTTTTGAACGCACTGTTCATGTCCTAAATAGAAGCACCTTTAGCCAAGACTCAAATGCCACCATTTATACGCAAAAAATAAATTACACAAATTGATGAATAAATACAATTTCTTATCTACTATAGATGACTGTCGCCACAAGTGGCAAAATAACTAAAAGTTCTAGGTTCAACGCAACTGCACAGTGCATGATGTAGACAACGGGCAACGTAAAACTTCCAAAATGTAGCAGCTTTTCACAAAAGACACTCATAAGCTAAGTACAAAAAACTGAAGTCAGCTGCAGTGTATGTTTTCACAGAATTAAATCAAATAAAACTATCTTTGACACAATTAGAACAGCCTCCACCCAGTAAAATCAACAAGGTCCCAACACAAAGTGCCTTATAGAAAAGCGAATAATCGAATAGTTCCTAACCAGCCCCACTTACGGTAACTCGGTCAGAGGGAAAAAAAAAAAAAAAAAAAGATTTGCGAGTTAGTGTTTGCCATAGGGTTGGCCAATTTGTACAGTTTCCCACATTTCGATTGTCTCGATTGTTAACATGACACCTATTTGAGTGGACTGTGGATTCAAATAAATAGGTAGTGCATTTCTTTCTCAAAGAGTAGAGTATGCCCCTCCCAGTCTCGCCCCCCAAAGCCCTCTCAACCCCTCGATTCCAGGTGGAGACAGCCTCGCGGAGTGATGAGGATGGGCCACCTTGTTGGACTCCATGATGTGGACTGCATCCTCGAGGTTTAAAAACTCCACAATGGCAGTATCGTAGCTGTAACCTGGGGACAGCATTTGAAATACAGATGGTCTTTGTTAGTCAATTCCAGTAAAGACAGTCACTAAGACATAGAAGACAGACTTCGTTCGACAGTGAGCGTATTGTTATACTTCACATATTCACCTTACATTTTAGGTTGGCTTTCTTTTGCGATGAACTTGAAAGGACCTTGCATTGATAACTTTTCAGAGCAGTTGCAAAAAACAACTGCACATGTTCCTTTGTGACAAAAGAACTGCTTTTGCCATCTCCTTGCCAAAAACTGAAGTTTCATCTTGTTCAGAATGGAATTATTACAAGTAAAAGTGCACCAACAATGCAGAATTTTGGTGCTTAATTTAAGTAGTTAATATTGGAAATGATTTGATGCTGAGAGACCAGTATTTTTCATGACTTTTGTGAAGCCACAATGTTCACACAAAGACCTTACACCAAGCGGTAATCCCATATACTACCATATTCACACAATAAACAAAAGCAACTGCAAACATTAGAAATAATGCGAATATAAAAATCGAAAGTCGAATAGCGAAATATCGAGGTGTTTTCGATCGTGTGTCTCACACAGAAACACTCTGGAACAACTCTTACCTGGAACAACCGTCTTGAGCTTCATTCTCTGAAGTGAAACGCCATCAGAAGTGAAGGCTCCCAAAATCTATCAAAAATAAGTAAATAATAAAAAATAGCCCATAAGCTTTGTACTCACATTTTCTGTAAAAAAAGGTTATTAATGAACATACCTGTTCCATGGCGGCAGTCTTGGGAATACCAGTGATGGACACTGTATTGGACACCGGGTCTTCAAATACTGCACCCCTGTAGTCTTGATCCTTTGAGAAAACACATGATGATGATGATGATGACGATGATGATGATGATGACAAAAGAGGAGTGATCTATTCTGTACAAAAAGTCAAGAGTTTAATTGCACATACCTGTGACGCAGACTCAATAAACCTTTCCGGTTCAGCAGTTTTACTGTCATTAATAAGTTTATCTGGTGTGGGAAGCACGTCAGGTTTGAAATCAAAGGCTCTTGATGCTGTTCGATAATCTATGTCCCTGTAGTCCTGGTCTCTTGGGGGCCCGCTACTGCTGCTCAGGTCATGGTCCTCATCCATCTTCTTCCTGGGAGGTGCTTGACTGTGTGATACATCTTCAAAATTGCCAGGTGGCTCATGCATTTGATGTGGAGGTTGAGTTTTCACTAGATTTGATGGTGGCTGTCTATATTTAAGATCCCTGTCCTCAAGCCAAGGTTTATTTTCCCTTTCTCGACCAAGTGGGTCATTAAGTGGAGGCATAAAATCTGATGGGCCTTTTATTCCAGGTAAATCCATAGGGGAGAAATTATCTCTTTGTGGGAAATTAATATTTTTTGTTGGATAATCCATTGACATCATATCCCTTTCCTGCAAATGCAAAGGATCCCTAATATTTTCATCCCTACCAAAGTCTCTAGGGTATTTAGGTTCATTTGTACCAACAAAACCTTTAGAAATTATGTCAAAAGTTTTTTTGTCCTTCTTGCGGTTTTTCCATTCTTCAGCCAGAGTCATTTCCTCCCCACACCTGTAGTCTGTTAGCGGACTGTCTCCTCCATGATCAATAGTGGGCTCTTCTTTGGTTTGGGGACCACTGTCCTCTGGATCCAGCTCTGGTCCTCTTCGGTCGACATGAGGGGTGGGATCATTTCCAAACCTTGGTGGAGACTGGCCTCGTCCTCTAAAGTCAGACATCGATCCAGGCCGGTTTCTGAAATCCATGTCAGAGTCAAATGCCCCTCTGGGATTAAAGGGCGACCCTCCGCGTCGGTCCATGTCCAGTCGCCTCCTGTCAGGTGGAGGCATGTCCATGTCAAAGTCTTCCCTGTGGCGCATGCCCATGGGTGAGCGATCACGCCCCTCTCGAAATCTCTCATTTCTGTCCATTCGCTCCATGGGGAATCCTCTTCTCCCTTCACCGTGAAACGGAGGCCGGTCAAATGGAATCCCTTCTCTGTCCATGTCACCAAATCGGCCTCCTGGTTCACGCGGGGGCATATTTCTGCCATCCATATCATCAGGGATTCTCCCATGCTCTCCAAAACCAGGTGCATATACAAACCGCTCCTTAAAGTTTATCTCGACCTGTCTTCCAGAAGCAAATTCTGGTTCTTCACCATGTCTAAAGAAATCTCTATCTCCTGGACCCCACATATCTCGGGGGTCCAAGTCATAACCCCTCATGGGTGGGCCATCCATCCTTCTCATATCCATGGGTGGCATATCATAATGTCTTGGACCCATTGGCCCCATGTTCATGCCACCCCTACCTCTGTAGTCAGGCATGGGGCGGTCCCTGCCCCCATATTCTTCATGATGATCACTGCAATGTGTGCATATAACTAGTTAGCACAAGAAACTTTGACATAAATGACGATAACACATGTATAATACATATTTTATTCTGTCTCCATACAAAAATGCAACAATAATTAATTTTGTTCACCGAAAATGAGGTCCTCCCCGTCGTCTAGGTCCAGGCCCAGGCCCAGGTCCATCCCACATATTAGCAGAAAACAGTGATCTGCAGAGTGAGCAAACTCAAATTGAACTCAAAATTGTGATGATGCTAAAACTAACATAGTCATGCGCAGAGAAGAGTCAAAATGCTTGTCAGATTAATTCTAATTTCTAATCAAAATATATCTATGCCGTTACGGAGAGGCCCTAGCATTGAGATAAAATATTCACCATAGCTCTCAAATAATCCGCGTAAATGTAGCAAATGTATGTAGACCACATCTGAGCTGTGTTTCCTTTACATTTGAAGATAATCATTCATTCATTTTAAAGTATCCAGCTTCAGTTCATAATGTGACGCAGCTGTTAGCATCTTGCACATTGCAGCCAAATCCCGGAGCCGGGTAACACTGCGCCATTCCAAAACAAGTCCCGCAATTTATCAAATTGAACATACTGACGCTAACATTTTTTATTATTTTAAGTGTATCGATAGCACATACCTCGGTTACTCTGAGTGTCTGGGATCGACAACAACTGTTATACTTTTCAGTAATCGGAGTCTCCTATGCTAACGGGGCTAACGCGTCTGCCGCAATACAAAAATGGAGGCGGAGGCTGATCTTCTTCTTGGGAGCCAGAGTAGGACCATTTTTGCATTTCTGCCACATACTGGTGTGAAAAGAGTACTGACAGGTCCTTGCAGTATTTAGTAAACCTTGAGCGAAGCCATACATGTATACTTTTCTTTATAACTGTTAAAAGTACCAGTGGCTAAATTACACCACCTGGATCTCACTACTCCTTTTCTAATCACTGTATTAACCCTCAGAAAATCACTCAGCTTTAAAGACACAATGCAAATAACTCTGACTACACTCAAAAAGATCACATAGCTTTAAAACCACAATGCATGCTCAAAAATATCATTTACTACACTCAAAAATATAATTTCTTCAATAACACAAGGTAAATATCATTTACTACACTCAAAAATATAATTTATTCAATAACACAGGGTAAATATCTTACTACACTCAAAAAGATCATTTAACTTTAAGAAACACCATACAGGTAACTTTAATAACTCTTAAAGTATCACCTGGGGAACACTTACAACTTCACTTAGCTTTAGAAACCACTCTATGAAATGCTCTACACTCTATCTGACAACATTTGCCCAAAACACATTTTTGACAGTGCCTCAAAGAATTTAACCAGATTTAGTTTTATACCAAAAACATTGCAAATATTAATTTATCCTTAGCAGTGCCTCAAAACCTTTAACCAAATTTAGCTTTGCATCAAAAACATTGCATTTTTGTAAGTAACTCACCTAGGATGACTTGACTCGCTCATAGTAAATATATATATATATATATATATATATATATATATATATATATATATATATATATATATATATATATATATATATATATATATATATATATATATATAATTGAGGGAAAGACTCAACAAAAGATTCCAACAAGTGATTTGTCTTTGTCTTATTTTATCTGCTTTTTATTGTTTTATGCACTACTCAAGTGACTGGTGGTCACTCTTTATACTCGTGATCACTCAGGGTTTTTAGGCCCGGAGTGCTCACGACAGAGCACTTATAACCAACTCACCCGGTAGCTGTTATTTTACTAAAAAGCTTATACTAAAATAATTAGGACAAATCACCTTGCAAGTACCCTTTTGGAGAAATTACCCTGTGACCAGGAAAGCTATAAAGCACAGCCTAGTCCGAATTAGAGATTCTGACCTCCTTAGCCGAGTTACAGCCGGAGGGCCAATGCCAACCAAAATCAGGATCTGAGTTATTATGCGGAATTTTCAATATTTATCTAGGGTCACAGAACTCCACCAAGGTACATGCAAAGTGATCAGTACGTCACAGATAGCACACATTTTTTCAAGTACAGGCAACACTTCTTAGAAACCACAGTCTTCACCATTCTAGCCCCCTACGCCTCCGCCCCAGCCAGGTGTGAAGTTACTGCCACCTCGCTTCGTCGAAGGAGCAGGAAGCTTCGCATCCGCATTGTCTACAGGCCACATAACATATAGGTTTCGTACATCAATGTCAAATAAAGGTCAACTGTCAAAAGAACAGAAGGTCCTTATCTTTCCTGCACACAAACATAACGGTTACAGAAATTATTTCAAAATAACCTAAACTTAAAAATTTAATTGAAAGAATTAAGCAAATCAATATAAAGGAAACAAATCAGATTAAATCAAAGCAAAACAAGTAACTCATGGTACTATGGGTCACAAAAACACTTCTAATATCTAAATCAAACACTCTTAATCTCTAATGCTCTAACAGTTATTCAATTATCAAAATAAAGCATCATGAACATCTTCATCTGAATTCAGGAGCCCTTTTAGTGGGGCTTACGCCAAAACCTTCATCTTTTTACCCCACCCAAGTGAGCTCTCCTGTGGCCGAGGGGGGGTTCACGACAATAACATATATAATGTATTTATCAGGTTTTTTTTTTTCTTCAGCTTGTTTGTACTTGTTTATAATTGAGGTGAATGGTAGCAAAAGACGATGACCACAAAAAAGTAGTCAAACATATCAACAACACTAAAACTAGTTTCTTTGGCTAGATGAAAACAAAACAATAAGCTCCTTTTCTGTCCTGTGCAAATTATTTAAAGTGTTGTTGTTGTTGTTGTTGTTTCACCACTGTAATAGCAAATATGTTCTCAAACTGTGTTACTGTCATATAACATCAAGTTAAATTAATTTTAAATGGAGCAAAAAGTAAATAAAAAGGACAGCATATAAATAACTGTTTCAAATAAAGTCAGTGTTTATTACAACAAGGATTTTGGGAGGGGAATTTGAACATTTGTAAACAATAATACAAAAATAATTGCAATTAATGTTAACTCATAGGCTAGGTATGTCAAACAAAAAACAGTAACTGAAAAAAGAAAATCGGGAATCTGAACATCCTTTGAGACTAAGAGGTGCCATCAGTGGAGGATTTTAGCCTCCACATCCTGCATCCTTGTCGTTTCGTGCTGGATTTGGAGATGGCACGTTAGCTACAAAAAGAAACACAAATTTAAAGTCTCACCACAAATGTAGAAAGCATAAATTCATCTTTGTATAAAGTATTATAAAACACATAGTTGTAAAGGTGCACTAAGCTTAAACTAAACTTTTTGGTAGAGGGTCCACCAACTGCTTGTCTCCATGGAGATGATGTTGTTTGCCTAGAATGTTCCACAGTATGGCATAAATCTACCTCCATGGAGACAAGCAGGTGAAGAAACCATGCTGAATTGCAGGTCAGATCTGTGGAGAGGTGAGCTGAACCCACAGAAATGCAGGGTAACAAGCTTCTTTAGCAATAAAAAACACCTTAATTAAATAAATGCAAAAAGGATATATTTAATGCCATGTTGTGAAAAATTTAAGTAAAAGCAACAACATCTCCGAGGAGACGTGCAAGTAGTGGGCTGGATGAGGGGGACAATAAAAGTAAAAAATCATGTCGTTATATTGAATTACTGAAATTATTATTTATTACACTTACAGTAACATAATTTAGTAGTAATATCTCACAAAACATTTACTGAGGATTGACACTGACCTTTTTGTTCATAGTCTCTCTTTGAAACTTTCTTCCCTCTTTTGCCACTCTCATCCAATGTTGCTTGAATGGCATCTGTGCTTCTTTGGAGCATCTTCTCCATGCGATCAAAGCGTTCATTGATTAAGCTAACACACAGTAGACCATTAGAAAAAAAACTCCTCTGATACATATTCTGATTCGGGCTCCGGTTCTTCCTCTATTATTTCTAGCTCTAATTGTGGCTATTCATCAAAGTTCAGTTCACTTTTATTACTGTATCCCATGATGATATGGCACCACGTCAAAGCTCATAGACGGCCACTTCTAATGTTGCTAATGCTAAAAACGATTGATTGCGTTATGTTGAGCAATACCGCCACCTCCTGGAACGGACTGAAAAAATACAATATTTGACAAAAGTTCCACGCTGATAGCTGATTCAGAAATAAATAAATGAATTAAGTCAGAAACTCTCAGTTTATCATTTTAGTTAATTGTAACAACAAAAATTGTAACAGAAATTCAGATTTGGGTTATACAACAACATCGGTCTGGGGTCTAATAGAAATTATTAGGTTCAACAAATGCACTATTTAGGCATTTCTAACAAGAGTACCATGTTATTAATAGTGAAAAATGACTCTTCCCCCTAATCTGACAGTGTGACATCATCACACTCTTCAATTAAAAAACACTAATAGTTCAAACTAGTACCACTCAAAAACTCATTAGAGCTGTAGACTTGTAGGCTACTTATAAGCAGGCCTAGATTAAAATAAAAACAGCCAGACTGTATTGCTCATTTTATTCAGTCACAAGCATTGGAGCAACCAGTTCAGTAGCTAAATGTAGCTAAACAGTAGGCCTTCATAATATACATAACAGGGAAAATAAACATAGGTACACCACTTGGACTTTTTAATTACAAGTGACAACACAATAACATCTAACACCACGATACAAATTAACATTTTAACTATTAGGCCTGTTCTGCATGTGACTGTATCAAATCAGACGGAAACAGAAAAAAAACAACAAAGCTGCACAAGACGGAACAGAAAGCAAAGGAAAGTTCTCTCAAACATTTCAGAGACACCAGCGAGACTCAACTGGTCTTTTGAAATGTTCCTGTACATCAGCCTACTGCAACAAATATTAAGGCACTTTAACTAAAAAGAAAGAAAAACAAATAAACTTACGTACATAACTAGCTTGTTTCTGTTACTTTCTGCTGCACTGGATTACTAAACTGTAGGGTCCCTATAGTTATTGGTAATGTAATATTTGACAGATTTGGTGGTGATATAGTAACTATGAAATATTAACCTAAAATTTTCTATTTTAAGCAAAATATTTTAACCAATCAAAATAGATTTTATAGGCCTACTAGTTCTTCCTTTTATGAAACAAAAAAATGGTTGTAACTTGTGAAGCTGACATCTATAAACATGTTGAGCATACAAACACCTCTACATTATATACAGTTAGTCAGTGGGTGTCACTAAAGTACATGTTAGCTTTAATGAGGGTTAAAGGAAAACAGCTAAGGGCTACGTTTAAAAAGCTTTAAAGGGAATTTTACACAAATGAACAAATGAAACACTATTAGTTCAACCAACACAAGAGGCAAGATGACAGAACGCATAATGCTGTTGAAAAATTCAGCTCAGGGTAAACAAATATGGCGGTCTCAAATATGGCAATCTCAAGCCAAATGAATCCCTGGCTAGACTCTCTGCATGGGTTTGACTGGTAATAGTTGTACTACTTCCTTCTTCTCTTCTGTTTAAGCCTACTCTGCTTGTTTCTGCTGCACGTGGACAGCATCACCGTTGCACCGTGTTTGGGGTTGTTGTTCTTCTTGTCTCGCTGAGGCAGTCTGTGTGTCGCTGGACTTTTCGCTGAGTGCTGCCTTGATGCTGGCGGCCATGCTCAGACCCCCTGCTCCGGCCCCGGTGAGCGGGGTGGGCGCGTTGGGGTCAGAGACCGCCCCAGGACTAGCGCCAGAGTCACCCTCTGACGCACGCAGTCTCTTC